GTCCACAAAGCTCAGCCCATCAGACGCTACAGACGAGTTGCTGTGAAGAAGAGCGAAGTTCCCCTCACAGTCCCGGAGTCGCCCAACTTCTCCAAACGTTTCCGCTAACAAGCAGTGAAGGTTTTACTGGGCCAAATATTTGTTTTTATTTTTTGTAATAAAGTGGTTGTTACTTTGATATGCTACTGCAATGCGTTACTACAATGATAGTTTAGCTCATCTTCTCTCAGCCTCAACGGATGTTTCAGCTTCCTTATAATAAGTGTTTTGTTAAATGTCTGAGGTTCTTTTAATTAAAATTCTGTAAAATCTCATTTGTCACTGTAGTTCCTTCACTATAGTGCACAAAAAATTCTTGTACATCTGCGCAGACCTTTGCAATACAGCCGGTATGGAAATAACTCAGAGCCCTTTAGATTTTCCACACTTTCTTTCATTGCAGCCATTTTTTAAAAATCAATAACATTTTATTTCTCATTAATGTACACTCGGCACCCCGTCTTGACAGAAAAACAAATGTAGAAATTTTTACAAATTTATTAAGGAAAAACTAAAATATCAAATGATCATAAGTATTCCCACCCTTTGCTCAACATTGAGTAGAAGCAGCCTTTTAAGCTAGTACAGTCATGAGTCCTTTCGGGAATGACTGGATTTTGGGATCCTCTGCAATTCTTCCTTGCAGATCCTCTCCAGTTCTGTCCGGTTGGTGGACAGCCATTTTTGGGATCTCCAGAGATGCTCAATTGGGTTTAGGTAAGGCCTGTGGCTGGGCCAGTCAAGAATGGTCCAAGTTGTTCCTTGTTTGAAGGTGAACCATTGGCCCAGTCTGAGGTTCTGAGCACTGTGGAAGAGGTTTTCTTCTGTATTTTCCATCTTTGCTTTAATTGCAACCAGTCAACCTTTCCCTGCAGCTGAAAAAAACACACCCATATCATGATGCTGCGATCACGTTTCACTGATGGGATTGCATTGGGCAGGTGATGAGCAGTGCCTGGTTTCCTCCACACCTCTTAGAATTGACACCAAAAAGTTCAATCTTTTCCTCATCAGAATCTTCTCTCAGAGCCTGGGAGTCCTTCATGTGTTTTTTTTGTTTAGCAAACTCCATGCAATCTACCGTATGTCTTGCACTGAGGAGAACTTCAGTCGAGCCACTCTGCCATAAAGCCCCCACTTGTTGAGGGCTGCAGTGATAGTTGACTTTATGGAACTTTCTCCCATCTCCATCCAGCATATCTGGAGCTCAGTCAGTGATCTTTGGGTTCTTCACCAAGGCTCTTCTCCCCAGATTGTAGTTTGACAGGATCGGTGGTCTAGAAAGTCTAGTCGTCCCAAACTTATTCCATTTAAGGATTATGGAGTGCTTGAGTGCTGCAGAAATTATTTTGTAACCTTTGCCAAATCTGTCTCTGAGCTCCTTGAACAGTCCCTTCGACCTCATGATCTCTTTGCTCTGAGATGCACTTTGAGCTGTAAGGTCTTATATAGACAGCTGTGTGCCTTTCCTAATAAAGTCCAACCAGTTTAAAACAGCTGGACTCCAATGAAGGAGCAGAACCATCTCAAATAGGATCAGAAGAAATAGAAAGCATGTGAGTTACACAAGTGCTCAAAGGGTCTTAATACTTGTCACCATTTGATATTTGAGTTTTTTTCTTTTTTGATAAAGTTGCAAGGTCAAGATGGGGTGCTGAGTGAACATTAATGTGAAATAAAATTATTTGATTTCCGTAAATGGCTGCTATAAAACAGTGAAAAAATTAAAGCAGTAAAGAGCTTGCAGAAACTAACATTGTATAGATCAATGAAATGAACTCCCTGCATTTAACCCATCACCTTGGGGAGCAGTGGGCTGCCATTGTGCGGCTTTAATGGGTCTTGCTTAGAGACCCAGAGTGGCAGTCCCTGGGAGTGGGGCTTGAACTTAGACCCTTAGGATTCCAAGCGCAATGCCCTAACCACTGGGCCGCAACTCCCCAAAGCAGGCATTAGCGGGAAGGGTCTTTCCTAAAGACCCACAGTGGCAGCCCATTCCCCCCCAGCTGGGATACGAACAACTGTTTGCTACAACAACATGAGCTGTGTTTAATATAGCAGCCTTAACACAGTCTGGTCAGTATGACATCACACAGCCTAAGAAGACGTAAGCATACATGATTAGGCCTGCATGTTTTAAGTGACATTAAATTTCTCCAGTGTGAGATCAATAAAGTTCAATTATTATCAAAGCCATACCACATACAAAAACAATTTCAACTTTTATGGTTTCAAAACCACACATAAAAACAGGAATTTTTTATTCAAATTATCAAAGATCTAGTTCAAAAATACTTACTCCAAAAAGGAAATTAAATGTTGCAGAAATACAGGTGTTGATAGCAGTAGGCAGGAAGGAGCAGTCTGTCTTTCATTGGATCTGGGGAAGCCTTTTACTGAAGACAACCTGTTTAAAAATCTTCTAAAGAGGATGCTCACTGTTGTCCATAATGTTCTTCACTTTATGAAGAATTCTTTGTAAAAAATAATATCCTGTAGAGGTCTGTCTTGCACCGGATCTGGAGATGCCTCTTACTGAAGACAGATACCCTTTTGTTACAAAGTGCTGTGTACTTAGCATGGTGTTCCCATTATTTTAATGCTGTTTAATATGTTCTTAGTAGCTCTTAGTATCTTAGTTTTATGTTCTGTTATTAATCACCATTTTGAATTAACATGCTCCTGTTAAACTTCTAAGTTGTTTAACTTGTTGGTAAGCCATTCCTATTAGGAATTTGATACAGCAGCAGGTGTCGTTGCTGCAATATGTATCCTATGAGTATTCATCAGGTAAACTGATGAATACTTATAGGATACATATATAAAACTGATGTCTTATTTCTGTTGTGATTTAGACCACATCTTCTACAATCTCCACATCTTCATGTTGTACAACTGCTCAAACAGTTCTATAAATATTAAAAGGAAATTCCATCTTCAGTTTTTCTGTCCTCACAGACACCCAGCAGCGAGTGTAGGACATCCACCAGTCTTGCATGATTTCATAGAAGTTTCTTTACACCCTGTTGCCGTATTTAAAGATTTTTTAAAAGAGGATAATCACTGTTGTCTATGATGTTCTTCACTTTATGAAGAATTCATCTTTGTGAAATAATCTCTAGAGGTTCCAGAGGAGTATCTAGAACAACGCTGTCTGTCTTAATTAGCTTGTTGAGCTTTATTTAAGTAATTTTCTCTAATATTTTTACCCCAGCAGAGGTCACACTCTCCAGAACAGACCTACAGATGATATGTAGCAACTTTCTGCAAACGCTAAGGACCTAAGCCTCCTTATAAAGTACAATCTGCTCATACCATTCTTGTAGACAGCCGTGTCTCCAGTCTATCCAAAAAAGGTAAAAAAAAAAAACACGTTTTGCTTCCCATCCAGGAAGCTTTTTTATTTCAAAATGTCAGTTATAGGGTTGCGTTCAAGGCTTCATACAGTGGACCAAAAACAAAGCCTTGTTTTGGCTTAGAAAACATGCAAACTGAACCGGACAAATGGGTCCATCCCTTTGGAATAAGGGTTGTTTGGTTTCTTTGTTAGGCTGTAATACATGAAACCTGTCAATGTCTCTGATAGAGAGACTTGTTGGCCTGGTGTAAGAGGCGAGGTGCCATTTTTCCCTGTAATGGGGTGGGGGGAAACACAGCTCCTCGCCTGTTCAGCCAGGCCAACAATTCCCTTATATGATGAGTTTGTCAGTATTCAACCCCAAATCAGATAAAAACTCTGAAAAATCTTCTAAAAATTCAGAGTAGGAACATGGTGGACAATACAAAGTTACTAAAAGAAGTGGTTTTGGATGAAAGAAACTAAGGGTTAAATGATCACATGCAGTGAGGGAAAAAAACTGAAACTGTTACCTCATTCAGATCTGTGGTCCACTCTCTGTGTTCATAGGAAACCAGTCAATTAATTTAACCCTATAACGCCAAATGTATCATATTTGATACATACGGTTTCTGAAATATTTTGCATCTGACACCTTTTGCATAATTTAATGGTAAAAACTGCTCAAAATCGTACACAAATTGTACACAATCAGATATACCTGATAACAGCCAGTAGAAGACTACACAAAAAATAATCTTGACCTATCGCATAGTAATAAATTATTAATATCAAAAATGTTTTTCTGTTTTTTTTTTTTTTTTTTTTTTTTTTTTTTTTTACATATTTTGTTAAAAGGGCAAATAAGGAATTCAAACAAAAAAAAAAAAGTAATTTTCTGTTTTGTTTTATTCTTGGGTCAGGCTTTAAAGGGTTAATCTACTTCCTTTGAATTATTATGTTTTTTAACTTGTAATAAGAAATCCAAGACTTGCTCTTGTCAGAGTGCATTGTTGTTGTGTTTTACTTAGGATGGCTAGTCGAACAAGATGGCTATGGCAAGGTTATGCTGCAGCATCTCAACATAATTTAGGAGTAGACTTGAATAAATACACCAAGCAGCTTCACCTTCATGTTGAAAATTATTCATATCTGATAGAAATCCAACAGTGAAGGGTTTTTCTCTTTCAGCTGAACAAAAAACTCAATTTAATCAGTTAATTTCTGATTTTGTGAATTACTGTTTTTGCAAAGCCCAAGATTTTTTTTAAATTCTTTTCCCCTTAGTACATGTATAAATTTTTCTCCTGGATTTGTCTAGATTAAGTTTAAGGTTTTGCTTTTTTTTATATTTGCTTCACCTTCATGTTGAAAATTCTTCATATCTGATAGAAATCCGTCAGTCAAGGGTTTTTCTCTTTCAGCTGAACAAAAAACTAAATTTAATCAGTTAATTTCTGATTTTGTGAATTACTGTTTTTGCAAAGGCCAAGGTTTTTTTTAAATTCTTTTCCCCTTAGTACACGTATAAATTTTTGTCCCAAACCCACCCTTAAGAGTATTTTTGACTCTTTTAATCAGCCTGATGCTTTGGTGATGAAAATAAACAAACCTCAACCACAGCTCAGCTGGCTTCTTGTTTTATTGGTTTGTCCAAAAACCTCCAGAAAACACACGTTCCACTTTCACAAAGTTCTTCCCCGAGACCAACAATGATCACACGAACCCAAACCTGTGCTCTGATCATAAAGCAAAGTCTCTAAGTAGGCAGTCATAGAGAAGAGAAGGTAGTCCAGCTGTTCTAACATACAAAAATAAATAAACTAGCTTTGGAGTGTTTCAGTTCTAAAGAAAGCGGCTTTGGATACAGGAAAAAGGCACCGGTGACACAAGTAGCTGCAGTTTAACAGAACGCACAAGATCAAACTAAATGCATCTAAAGAAAGGCTTTCTCCTGAGAGATTCTGATCTACAAACTTCAGACCAAACAGGAGCAGAACAACGCTCCAGATCCTGCTGCAAGCTTTGTTGGTCTAAGAATGAATGCAGCAGCATATCAACTTCAGAAAGTAGCATCAGTTATTGGTAAAGGGAATATAAACACCAGACAAGGAGAGGAAAGAGCAGTAGGGCCTTAACGATTGTTTCAGTAAAATTGAATTAGAAGTGAAGCCTCACTGGTTCTGGTGTCCCAGAGCGGGTTTAGTAAAAAAAAAAAAAAGTTACTTTATTTTAGGAGTTCCAATTAACAATGCAGAAGATCCTGGAAATCCAAATTCTCACTCTACATGTGGAAAGTCTCTGCTTTAGGTTTGCTACTGAACAACCTGCTTAGCTCGGATATGATGCCATTTCCCACAATAAGCCCCTTTTATCTCTACGGTGCATTTAAAAAGAATGTAACAATCTGTTTACAGGCCAACAAAATTACATCAAAATAAAGAATTACTTGTTAAAGTTATTGAAATGCTTTAAGATTCCATCATGTAAAAGTTATCAGTAAGCTGATGTCTTAGAAATAATGTTAAATGATATCCATCATGATATTGTGAAGTAAGGTTTACAGTTACTGTGTAGCTACCATTGTTTCCAAGAAGATGTAGATAAAAAAAAAAAAAAATCCATTAAAAAGAAATATTATTTCTGGATGTCACAGTGTCCCATTTAGTCTGGAAATCGCGGTCCTGAAGTTTAGGGATCCACAAAGGTGACTGCGATGTAGCGGACTCCTGCCGTTGTCGGCAATCCTTCGTGGTAGTGGGTAAGGCGGCCCGGATGCATGAGGGCCCAGCCTTTCCGAGGCGCCTGGATGGAGCAGTGGTATCGGAGGAAGCGGCATCCCCCACCCTGTATTCACAAACATTCACTCAAAGATCTGAGCTAAACATCAAATCATCTTATAGATGTCAGAACAGAAAAACACATTCTATTAAAAAGCTTCTCTGTCATGCCGGCAACATGGTTCATTAGAACAAACAAACAAGCACCAATTGTCTGTTCATATTTTTGTCCAAAATCTGTTGAGGTGAAAGGTGGGTGGTCAGCTTTCGAGCAGCGTCTACTTACCTGGTAATCAGTTCCAACTTCATTGAGTGCAATGTTTATAGTGAATGTAGAGGCATCATGGTGTGGCCTCAGGTAGGGCTGCTCATCTGGCTTATATCTAACTACAAAGGCCAAGTCAAACTGAGCCTGAACACACAGAGAGAGAAAAACAAAACCCGTTATTAGCAGAACACGGGTATTATTAATAGGAATCCTCTAAATCTAATCTCTTTGCAACAGAGACAGAATCTCAGAAAGTAAAAAAAAAGTATACTAGTAAGAATTAGGCTTTATATATCTAGAAATGTTTCTACATTTTAAGTGGCCATTTTTTCCATTTATCAGCTGGACTCAATTGTATTTACATTTCTTCATAGTCAAAATAAAACAAATGATGACCAGTAAAAAGGAAATAAGGAGATCTGAAATTAATTTCTAGACATCCAGGATGTCTTTTTGTTTCAAATGGTTATTTTGACAAGGAAAAAATTTATTTCAGATATCAAAAATATACATTCAGACAAACGAATACCTTTTGTGTCATGAGGGAAACACCTCTGAGGGAAACTGGAAGGTGTCTAGGTTGGTTTTCATAGAGCAGACAAACAATAAATGCTGCCTTCAGATTGGCTCAGATTTTTATCTCTTCAAAGATTCCTGCTCAGAAGATTTAAAAACAGCTGGACTTTATTGAGCAGTAAAATGCTACATAGCAAAATATGTCATTTTTTATATCAGGCACAACTGAAATAGAAAATATTTTCATTTAGTCTTTTCCAAGAAAAAAAATCTTGCTAATTCACTAATTTCTTAGGATTTCGTTTCAAATGAGAGGGTGATAAATGTTGGGATTTTCTGTAGATTTAGATATAGAGATGAGAAAATAGGCATTAAGAAATATGGTGGGCTAAAAGGAACAAATTAAGTATATATGAACATTCAGTAAAATAACATACTTTTGTTAAAAAATAGTTAAATGTAATTGTTTAACGTAATATTTTATTAATTAATGGTATATTCATTTGTATATCTTGGTGTATTCATTCATTTAATACTGTCCATTTTAAAGGAATAGTACACCCAAAACATGATTAGCCTTCATTTTCTACTCACCCCCATGCTGAACAACACTCTGGAGTACTTTTTTGATATCTCAAATGCATCTGGAGATCTGGGAGGCTTCTTACTGTCTGCTGACATTCAAATAATGGAGGTCTATGGCGCCCGAGGCAGAAAGGTCCATAAAAGTCAAAAAAAAAACGTGTCAATATTCCTCCATACTGCTCGTCCAATGTATTCCAAGTGTCCTGAGTGGGTAGCATCCAGAATTTAGTCGAAACGAAGTCATTTAGAATGTTTTTAGAGCATAAACAGTAGTGTATAGGATTTCCTGAAAGCGCGCACATGCGCGTTCACGACGCTACGGAAGCCGGCAGACCAAGCCAGATGAAAGTGCGCATTCAGCGTCTGCTCTGCCAATAATGCAAGCGTAGAAGAAGAAATGTGCTGTTTACCTGTGCAAAGAAAGAAACAACGAAAGAAAAATGTCTGAGGACTTCAGTGTTGAGGAAAAGCATGAGTTCTTTGCCGAGCTGAATGCGCTGGTTTGGTCTGCCGGCTTCCGTAGACTCGTGTGCGCGCATGTGCGCGCTTTCAGGAAATCCTATCCACTACTGTTTATGCTCTAAAAACATTCTAAATGACTTCGTTTCGAGTAAATTCTGGATGCTACCCACTCAGGACACTTGGAATACATTGGACGAGCAGTATGGAGGAATATTGACACATTTTTGTGGACTTTTATGAACCTTTCTGTCTCGGGCGCCATAGACCTCCATTATTTGAATGTCAGCAGACAGCAAGAAGCCTCCCAGATCTCCAGATGCATTTGAGATATCAAAAAAGTACTCCAGAGTGTTGTTCAGCATGGGGGTGAGTAGAAAATGAAGGCTAATCATGTTTTGGGTGTACTATTCCTTTAATGTTTCTTTTAGTGTCAAAAGCAATCGTTCAAAACAGTGTTTGTTTTTTGAAAGCTGTCTGTGTTTTGTTTTTTTTTTATAAAAAAATAAATTAAAAAAAAATAAAAAAATAAAAAGAAAGCTGTCTGTGTTGAATCATTATTCCATGATACGGCCGGATTAAACTGCTACAGATGCTGGAATGAAGGTAAGCCAGAAGAGAAACGCAGCTGCTGAGAAACACCTAATATCATAGGCGTTCTGATGTCATTTTTGCAAAAGGATTTTTATCAAAAACATAATAAATGTGCACAAATAAGGAATAGTTTTATTAGCCATAAGTGTAAACAGAATTTACATGTATGGAACTTGGGGGCCCTAGGCAGCTGCCTAGTATTGCCTAAAGGTAAATCCCCCCCTGGTCCTGTGTACCACTAACAGATTTAGGGACGGCACGCAGTTCCAGACTACCTGCCTGCTATTTTGTGCCACCAACTTCAGTGCACAGTTACACTGTTCACAGTTCACACACATTTGTTTGGAAATGGATGGATGAACCTTCTCCATTAGCTGTGCCCACATAAATCCATCTTTGAGCACACTTAGCTCCTGTCTCTCTTCCCTGGTGTTGCACACAGCTAACCTGACTCTGCCAGATGGATATGTGGAGCAAATCTATCTGGAAACCTTCCGTTGAAGTAATTTTGGGAAGGGGTGAAAATACTGGTTAGCTGATTGGCCTATGTTGGTGATAGACGGGCCAAATAAACCAATCAGATCAACGAAGCATATGACGTACTAACAGAGCGACGGCGAAAACACAACCACAAGCCAGGCTACTCTTGCCGAAACCAGTCGGGAGAAGAGAAGAAAGAGAAGAAAACATCTTTTCCTTTGAGAAAAGCCTCCAGAGCAGTGTTTTGCTCTTCTTTCAGTGAAGAAATACTCTGTAATTCCGATAAAACTTGCTCGATAGCCACGCTAACGCTAGTTTAATCGGCTGAAGTCGCCATGTTCTTTAGACTGAACTGTCGCGCTTCTCTTTGAGTCACACCTCAACCCGCCTCAAAGCCAACGCTGATTGGACGTTCGTTTGGTGAACGGCTCCAAATTTTCTTTAACGGAGAGTCTCCAGACTGATTTGCGAGTGAAACCTTGAAAACTCGCGAGATCAGGATGGTCTCACGAGGCTAGCACACAGCAGCTCATTGCTAAGTCTCAGCTGTCTGCCCTCATGACTTATTAAACTATATGTCGCTCAACAATACCATCTGTAAAAACTTCTTTTGTCCTACTGTCAAGATTTAATTTCTTCCAGTTTATGAGAGGTGAAGCAAAAATTTCCAAAATTTCTTTACCATAATGCACATAAAGGCCTTTTCATCTACTAAAGGGTGTTAATAAATAGTGACAGAGCATTTATTGTCAAAAATGTCAAATATGAAAAATGCTGGAATGATAAAAACTATTCTCAAGAAGAAGAATAAAGAATATCAGTGTTTTTTTTTTATTTTAAATATTCTTATTCTTGATTAATCAAAAGCTAAAACCTGCTTTGAGTATTATGAAACGTAAAAAAACAAAAGTGTAATTTAGCTGTTATATATAATTTATAATGATCTACGTCTGGAAAAATATGAGCCAATTAATCTCAGTATATAGAAAGAATTTAAAACTACTTTTACCGCTGCACAGATGGTTGCATCAGTTGAATTCATAGAGAGATTTATGGGTCAAAGTTAAGTGGCCTAAAAAAAATAAAAAAGCCTCCTGAAAATGATGAGCTACATTTTAAAAAGAAAGCCAAGTCCAAATTAAATAACATCGTAGTTTCTGTAACACACCCCGACAGCAAAATAAAAGCCACCACACCCTAAGAACTAATAATAAAAATCTGTTTAAACAATAATAATTATATCATCATAGACTAAGGTGCATTTTAAAGACAGTGAGGAAGTTTACTATTATAGTTTTGTTGATTAAAAAAAAAAATCTTAGAGGAGCACCTGCACAGCATGGTTATTTTACAATATATTACAAAATATTCTGGTTGCTTGGAAGGAGAACATAAGCAGATAAGAGCTGGTTTAAAAGCTTTGTTTAAACATTCCTTAAAATCTTGGACATTTCTGGGTTAACAGGTCTCACCTTTGTGTAGTACCCAGGGAACATTTTCTCTGTTATGGGTGCAACATACTCCATTAGGAACTTATGCCATTCTTTTTCAAAGTTAACTTGGTTCATGTGGATATCGATGGTGGGGACGTTCTCATAGCCTCCCTGGATTCTGGTGTCCTGAGGGTTGAAAGAGTGTAAAATGTGTCACTGAAGGTGAACATGGCAGATCATGAAAACAAAGCAAGAACTTATTATAGGGGATAATGTTGTAATATATTAGCCTGTTAAGGATCATTGCATTGATGCATCCAACGTACCACATTGCCACCTCCTGACCACTTGCCAAAGTGTTCCATTTCTTCAACAAGATGGTTACAAGCAAGATCTGTGAATACTGGGAACCAGTAAACATCTGGACATGGCTGGAAGACGTTAAAGAAAACAGCATCATTTCATTCAGTAAGATAGAGAGGCAGCCATATTGGTTTTGTTAGTAATCTGAGTCCGTGTTGTTCCTCACATTTTCAATGAGATTATCTTTTATCATGCGGGTGTAATTCTCATGAATGTAGCGCTCCTGCCAGTCCTGAAACAAAGAAAACATCCATAGATGGGGATGAACTGGAGGGATCTATCCATCCCTCTCTCTATCCATCCACCTATACTTCCGCCCATCCATCCATTACTCCCTCTAAACATCTGACAATCCATCATCCATTCATCCGTCCATCATCCATCCGTCCATCCATCACTCCCTCCATCCATCACTCATTCATCCATCCATCCATCCACCCATCATCCATCCGTCCATCCATCACTCCCTCCATCCATCACTCATTCATCCATCCATCCATCCACCCATCATCCATCCCTCTATCCATCACTCATTCATCCATTCCCACCATCCATCTGTCCATTCATCCATCCATCACTCATTCATCCATTCCCACCATCCATCTGTCCATTCATCCATCCATCTGTCCATCCATCCTTCCATCCATCACTCCTTCATCCATTCCCACCATCCATCTGTCCATTCATCCATCCATCCATCTGTCCATCCATCCTTCCATCCATCACTCCTTCATCCATTTCCACCATCCATCTGTCCATTCATCCATCCACCCATCATCCATCCATCCATCTTTCATCCATCCATCCATCCATCCATCCGTCCATCCATCACTCATTCATCCATCCATCCCTCCCACCATCCATCTGTCCATTCATCCATCCATCCATCACTCATTTATCTATTCCCACATCCATCTGTCCATCCATCCATCCATCACTCATTCATCCATCCATCCCTCCCACCATCCATCTGTCCATTCATCAATCCATCCATCACTCATTTATCTATTCCCAACATCCATCTGTCCATCCATCCATCCATCACTCATTCATCCATCCATCACTCCCACCATCCATTTGTCCCTTCATCCATCCATCCACCCATCATTCATCCATCCATCCATCACTCATTCATCCATCCATCACTCCCACCCTCCATCTGTCCATTCATCCATCCATCCACCCATCATTTATCCATCCATCCATCACTCATTCATCCATCCATCACTCCCACCATCCATCTGTCCATTCATCCATCCATCCACCCATCATTCATCCATCCATCCATCCATCCATCACTCCCACCATCCATCTGTCCATTTATCCATCCATCCACCTATCATTCATCCATCCATCCATCCATCCATCACTCCCACCATCCATCTGTCCATTCATCCATCCATCCACCCATCCATCATCCATCCATCCATCCATCCATCCACCCATCCATCCATCCATCCACCCATCCATCTATCCACCCATCCATCTTTCATCCATCCATCCATCCATCACTCATTCATCCATCCATCCCTCCCACCATCCATCTGTCCATCCATCCATCACTCATTCATCCATCCATCCCTCCCACCATCCATCTGTCCATCCATCCATCCATCCATCCATCCATCACTCATTCATCCATCCATCACTCCCACCATCCATCTGTCCCTTCATCCATCCATCCACCCATCATTCATCCATCCATCCATCACTCATTCATCCATCCATCACTCCCACCATCCATCTGTCCATTCATCCATCCATCCACCCATCATTTATCCATCCATCCATCACTCATTCATCCATCCATCACTCCCACCATCCATCTGTCCATTCATCCATCCATCCACCCATCATTTATCCATCCATCCATCACTCATTCATCCATCCATCACTCCCACCATCCATCTGTCCATTCATCCATCCATCCACCTATCATTCATCCATCCATCCATCCATCCATCACTCCCACCATCCATCTGTCCATCCATCATCCATCCACCCATCCATCCATCCATCCATCCACCCATCCATCCATCCATCCATCCACCCATCATCCATCCACCCATCATTCATCCATCCATCCACCCATCATCCATCCATCCATCCATCTTCCATCCATCCATCCATCCATCCATCCATCCATCCATCCATCCATCACTCACCAGTGGGTTTTCAAAGATCTGCCACAGATCATTATGAAGATGTTCTGTCTTGTAGTTTTCTGTCGATAGGATGCGGCCAAATGTGTGTAAATTGGTTACGTACATAAAGACTCCCTACCAAAAGTAAAAGAAAAAGCGTTACAGGTCTTCTGTAATTGAGGAGTATGCTAACAATTATATTTTTATTAGGCTTTAAAATCACAGTCTAACTGTAAATGTTTCCTGCTTTTCAGACCTTGCTGCGAACGCTGTGGCAGAAAGCCATGTCAGAGTCTAAACTTTGTGAGGTAAACAGTTTGTAGTCTTTCAGCTCTGACTGCAGCAGGCTCGCCTTCACCAAGTAAACACTGGAAACATATGGGACATTCCACAAACCCCTGCAAGAACCACACACAGACCCAACATCAGTGGAGGAGACCGCAGACTGCTAACACTAAAGCAACAAAACTGAACTAAGCATTTATTCATGGCCTTTAAGGATTATCATCCCCATATCTTCAGTAGAAACTAGCGTTCTATGATCCTTTTTGGGTCTACAGACAGTTTTTTAAGCCTCCGTCAATCTGTGTCTTGAAGCCATTAAGGGTGGTTTTTTTTAACTACCCTTAATGTTCACCGAAGCCTGAATTTGACAAACATTTGAACTTCAGAACTTAGCAATTATAGGATCCATTCAAGTAAATTTAAAGTTCTATGAAGTCCTTGATCATCAGCCTAATCTACCAAATGTTGTTATTGGAAAGTCAACTCACACTCTCCGTCCCTGAACGATGTCCACATAGTCCTCAGATCGAGCATAATAACCATCTGCACTGAGCGCCCCCCAGAAGTTGCTCCACAATCGTCCCGTTCGAGTTATCATCGGAGCCACGACTGGTCTGGGGACAATTTCAAACATGACTGGTTGTTGACGGGCAAACAGTTTGTGTGACGAATAAGCGTCTGATCGTAAAATAATTGCTAAGCATTTATTTTATATAAAACATACTCACAGGTTTTGTTCAATCAGGATTTTCAGGGTGTTTTCATTCTTTAAGACCACCTCAATGTCCAAGTTAAAGAAATAATCACACTCCTTGTCCTTTCGGCACATATCACTGAAAGACAGCAGCAGGTAGAAGTCAGCCAAATCATGTGTAATAATCACCCAACTCTTTTATGTGAAACAGCTAATAAGTTAACTGCAACATGATCTTAAACTGAAGTAAAAGGTTCAGGCTTTTTAATTTGCTCAGTTTTACTTAATTTATGATGGGGAACCATTTAACCCCTAAATGAAGGTAAAATGACCTCATAACGTGCAGAGTCACTTGTATCAAATACTAAACATCCATCTAAACATTAGTCTCAATCAAAGCTGTTTTCTGGAAGCAGCCTAAAAGCACAGCTTGCGCCCGACGATGAGCTCTGAACAGATTTCTTCATAACATACAGGCTCTGTGAACTAGTCAACAAATTCATGTTAACACAAAACTAAATCTACTTTTTTACTTTTTTTGTTTTCACTTCTGAGCCTCTTTGTTGGTAAACACTGTTTTTATCTTAACACTTGTTTGAATCTCCAGTCTTGCAAGAATTTTTTGGATCGTTGGGATCCACCTCCGTAAGGTCGAGACAAAATCAAACATGTTTGAAATTCAGTCGTCCCTTGTGAGGTGTTTGTGACTGAATCCTGCTGATGAAGCAGAGCGACAAATGAGTAGCTATGAACCTCGCCAACTGTGCAAACAAGGGAATTTGTATGCCGACCAGCAGCGTCTCTCAGCGCTGAGTGCAAAGTGTGGTTTTTGGACGTACAACGTGAGCAACTAGATCACATCAGAGCATTGGGTTATACAGTGGAAGTGTGTCCAAAAAAGTTTAAAAACGATCCACTAGACTTTGTTTCCAAGTTTTAAGGTTTTTCCAATTCAAAATGTCAGAAATAGCGTAAAGCCTCAACAAGGCTTTACAGAGTGGTTATTTTTGACTTTTTTGGAATGACTATGACCTGGATGACTGAGAATCATCACCAGCATACATCGTGAACTTTTAAACCCTGCAGTTCAGTCATACAGTTTAAGCCGAGTACAACTAAAAACATCATACAGTGTATGCCAGGCTTAATCTAAGAACTCTATTATCAGTTTATGTCACTTTTGACCCTTTTAGTTTGAATTTCCCCAAATGGACATGTTTTACTTTGCCATCTTCCTGTCAGACTTGCGACTTTTCTGACACAGTTCTGTGTGGGTCAGACTAAAACAGACTGCTGGTCAACCTTTGATGGATGTGGCTCCATTCACTCAACATATTCTATATGCTGCAGACATTTTATGACTTAGTTTTCTGTTTTTATCTAGATACAAATCATATTCGGTGTGTTTTGAACACTCTGTAGCTTTCAGCCACTAGCAATGCTTAAATTGGTAACTTCCAGGTTTATTGCCGTGAAACCAACTGGCAGCACTGGACTGTTGCCAAAAGACAAGGCTACATTCACCCTTTTAGACTAAATCTTACATGAGAGGACAAACAATATGTCTGAACAGGTCAGTTTTATATCTGTTCGGTTGCCCAAAAACAATCCTTGTTAGCACTGCTGTTCAATGGGCACTCAGTCAACTTTGGCGTCATCTGTCTTTAACATAGACAAAAACTGACAAGCCCAAGTCGCGGGCATCTGCTCCATCCATCTCCTCTTCAGGTCCGATGGATTTCACGTCCTGATAAAGGCTTCCATGTTCCTGCAGGAAGGAGCTGACCTGATGCTCATGATGAGGTTCCTGCAGGCAGAGAAGATTAGTTTACTTTTGCTTTATGAAGACAAAACAGGCATATTTCTATTCATAATGTGGTAGCAATGACAGCAATGGTTTATGCTGCGCAGTGCAGCGGTGGGTAGCACTGCTGCCTTGCAGCAAGAAGTTTCTGGGTTTGATTACCCGCCCAGGGTGTTTCTGCATGGAGTTTGCATGTTTTCCCTGTGCATGCATGGGTTCTTTCTGGGTACTCCGACTTCCACCCACAGTCCAAAAACATGACTGTTGTTAATTGACTTCTCTAGACTCTCCATAGGTGTTAGTGTCTGTTAATGGTTGTTTTTCCGGTTTGTCTCTGTGTTGTCATGTGATGGACTGGCGATCAGGCCAGGGTGTTGTACCCCACCTCTTGCCCATTGACAGCTTATCCCAGCAAAGATAAGTGTGACTGAATATGGATGGATGGCTAAATTGAACCATAACCTTTGAACCTTAAGAACCCCTTCAACTAACAACATGCTTCTTTATAAAAAACAAAGTAAGGAAATTTCTGTCTAAATCGTAGCAGACTAGCTTCTCTAAAGTCTTTTTATCTGTGTCGGATCTAGATCAACTTAATTTAAGTTTTTATGCTATCCTGTGAAGCAGCAGACGATATTCCAAGAGCTCAATGGCAGTAGAGAAAAAAAATCCTTCAAACAACCTAAAACCTAATGGTAAGAATGGAGCCACCCTTATTAATTTATTTTATGGTCTATGTTAGTTTTCTAGTACCTTCTTAACATAAGGTAATGTTGGAACATCACCTGGTTGGAAATGAAGAGTTTGAGGCGGCTCTTTGGGTACTGGAGCTTTAGAAGACGTTCAAAGAAAACGGTGACAAATGGAGTAGGTTGCTGAATGAAGATGCCGATCAGCACCACAGGAAGTTCACTCTCCTGTAGAAGGAAACACGATGCATCATACAACACTGTTTAATGGGTTTACTGTGTTCCCTGGAAAACCATCCCCCAATGAGAAGGCTGTTGGCTGATGTTTTAACAGAACTGAACGGACCTTCAGGGATGAGAGCGAGATCAGGTTCTCCTGGCAGATGGTGCATCCAGTCTCAAACGTCCACGAGTTGGGGATGTAGTTACTCAGGTAGTTCATCTGGAGCTGGAAAACAAAAGTGTTCCGTTTGCTTTTAAATGAAAGATTTGATGAAACTTCCCGGCTTGTATTATGCTGCCTGAATGTTGAGGAGGCTGGAAGATCGCTGTCAAAATCACTTCAGTGTTTCTTCAGTGTACGCAATGATGAGGAGTGAAACGTTTCTTCCAAGCAGCACCTTTGTTGGGCCGTTCCCATGGACGACAACAGGCAGGGTGTCATACTGCACGTTTCTGGCTCGAACACGACCGTCTTCAAACTTCAGCACCACCTCATCTGGAAAAACAAATGAGTTGCTGTGTATCATAAGGATTTGATAAGGCACAACATTATGACCAGCAAAACGCACCATGACTGAGCCTTTCCTTTCCAACATAAAGTTCTTCAGTGATTAGAGCTACGCTAGCTCCTGTGTAAGTTCAGCAAACATGGGCCAACTTCAAACCAACAGTATTTCTATAGTTTATTTAACACAACACTATGCAGCCCTCATGTCATAGGCAGCAGGAAAAAATGCCACCTTAATCAGTAATACTAAGCTGAATAAATATAAGTAAATGGAAATTAGTTGGTTCTCAAGGTGATCTGCTGTCTATGAAGCTCTAATGTTCAAAGGCAGGTTTTTTTCATAGATTATCACTATGATAAAGAAGTCCAGTTCCTCCTAATATTAAATTAGAATCCATCAAAGGTTTAATTAAAGAACTTAAAATCTTTATTATCACAATGTCCCAGAGCAGATTGTACTTCATAAGGAAGCTTAAGTCCTTCAGCATTTGCAGCAAGATGCTACTTATTATTTTCTATAAGGCTGCTGTGGAGAGTGTGAACGCTTCCTCCATCCTCTGCTGGGGTAACAGTATTAGAGATACTGACTTTAAAAATTTCCAGAAGCTAATTAAGAAGGCCAGTTCTGTTCTAGGAGCTCCTCTAGAACCTCTGAAGATTATTTCATAAAGAAGAATTCAGAAGATCCTTCCTGCCTACAGTTATCAACACCTACAAAGTAATCTATGAGTTACTGCAACATTAAAATTTTATTTGGGATTAATAAAGTATTTTTTAATTGAATTGAACTGAATGAAATAATAAAATCTTGTAGATACTGATTTTCTGTCAGGAGTGTAACGGCGCAAAGGCTTCGAAATGGATGGAGGTGCCAGAACAAAACAGCATTTGGAAACAAATACGAATCTGGCTTCATTCTGATGAGCATAAATCTAAATGGTCAATAGTGCTTCAAGCACAACTTCAGTTAAGTTTTGGTCAAAAAACTGATCTCTAGCCATGTTTGCAAATCAGAGAATTCTGCATTAGCTGTTAATGACAGCTGAGATGGAGAAGTTTGGACCAATCCACATCTTCCCCTCTTTCCCTTTGAAACAGTGAACATGTTGACCTCTGTTTTTATGTTTTCATTTTCTTCTATAGTAGACAAATTGACAATTTTCTCTATAGTAGCTGCATCCAGCCTCCTTCTGTTCAGCTGTAAAAACTGTCCTGATGCTGGATCTTAGCTGGGCTGCAGCTGCTGGCGACCTCCTGCACTCTTACAGATGATCCACTTGGTTCTGCCTTTCAGTGGTTCACTCAGTCCCTTTCATAGACATACTGTAGCTACTGGCTGAGCTTTCACTGCAACAGACTGGATGTGCTCTATTTATCTTCCAGACTGTCTGTCTGAGTTTATCTTAATGTTCTTCTGACGTTCTGACTGTAAAATACCTTGAGATCTAAATCAAAGAGAGATCAGGATGAAGGCAGATCAGGTTAAAAAAAACTCTACGAGCCTGGCCAGCCGGACTAACCTAAGCTTTAAAACACAGACTGGAAAGAATCTGGAAGAGCAGGACAAACTAAAAATCAGCTGAAACAGTTTAGAACCAATTTGATAATTATGGATTTGTAGCAAAAAATTTTTTTGGTTTCTTTAAAAGAAAAGCTCTTTTAATGATACCCAGGTTTCTAGCCTCAGACACAAAGTTCACTTCCTGTCTAATGCATCCAACCAACAGGTCTAATGACAAAAACCAAACGTAATAATTTTCAACTGTCAGTGCTCATTATGTTACGCCTCACAGTAAACAATGACAATAGGATCTTAGTGGTTTAACACCTAAAAGTTACTAATGTTGCATCTGTTGACTGTAGACATGCATCTGACATTAACCAGGACTGATTTCAGGTTTATTACTAATAATAATCTAAAGTTCTGCTAAGAACTCTTGTTGGTTTGATGATTAAGTAAACATTAATGGTAACTATTAAATAAGATCGGGCTGCAGATTACATTTTTTTACCTCTTTTCCTTATTGATTACGGAAGATTTTCATAAGTTTAAGAACCGCTTTCATTTCATATTGGTTTAAATCTTTGTGGTTGGAAAATGTTGTAGTTTCCTTCTTTGTCATGTAATGAGGATTTCTGGGCCACAGAGAGTCAATATATTCTGTCCAGTCCCTGAAGTCTTTCCGGGCTTTGACACAACCTTTCTAAATTCCTTCAGAATAAGCATTGAAAACAGACAACTAACTTACTGTAGCCTGGATCATTTTTAGCTTTATCCTGAGCCAAATTGACAGTGAAGACAACACCGTGGTATGAATACATGAATAAAGTGGGGAAATAAAAATATCAATGTCTAATCTGGATTAAAAAGCCTCGATCCAACCACTGTTTAACAAAAAATGTGCAGAGTGACTTATCCTTATATAATTAAAAGGAAAAAGAAAAAGTCTCCCTCAAATCAGCTTAATCTTATTGATTATGAGCACTTTCCCTGGAGGCACCGCATGAAATAAATGTGAAGAAGCTTGTGGTAAAATGTGTGGAGCAGTAAAGAGCAATGATCATTCTGTCAGATGTAGAAAATGTTGATTTGTTTTCCCTGGAAACCGTGTTCCATTATCCCCACAGTGACGTAATCTCAAAGGAAAATTTGGTCCAATTCTCAGCTTGTAAACTCTCATATTCTCCATGGCCCCTTGTACATTCATCGCCATGACAAAAACATTGTCCAGTGTGGTATTCTGCGCACACATACGCTGCACTAATATATGCTATCTAAAACATTTAGTAGTAGTACCTGAGTGACTGGCCAAATGTTAGTTCATAAGGAAGAACTGCAACAAATTATTAAAAGAGAAACATTTTGTTACTGCTGATGCGAGTAACATCCATCTTGAATGGGAGAGTCGAATACCTTCCTGTTGCATCAATTTTCCAACTCAAAACTCTGACTTTCATGATCGATGACCAGGTTATCCTGAGCTATCTCTATAGTTATGCTGCTATAGGCTTAGACTGCTGGAGGACATAGGGACCCCTTTTCATCAATCTATCTCTATTCTCCCACTCTGCCGAATTTGTTATTTCAATCTCTATCTTTATGATATCTCGGCTTTTTCTATTCATGGTAGCTTCATCTGGTCTGCTCCTGCCTGGCTGTGACTCCATCCTGGAGAGAAATTTCAGCTGTGCTGCTGCCATCAACACCTTTGTTTATAGATGTTGGAGCTTGGCCTGTTTTTTTAGTGCAGTCCTGTTTCTCTGACTGTGACTAACTGGATGTGCTCTCTTCATCCTCTGCCATGGGAGCTGGCTCAGAGCTTGTCTGCCCGGCTGTGTGTTTCCTGGACGGGACATCCTGTGGAGGTGGTTGACAGTTGCTTTTTGTATCTACCGGTATGCTTCTTTTTCTATGTCTGCTTCTGTTTTCTTGAACCCCAGTCGGCCTCAGCAGATGGCCGCTCGAACAGTCTGGTTCTGAAGGAGGCTTTTTTCCTGTTCAAAGGGAGTTTTTCCTCTCCACAGTCGCTACAAAAATGCTTGATGTGAGGGATTGCCTTTGACTCAATGAGTCCATGCAATCAGTAGATTTTCTTTAAATAGAAAGCTTTAAAACAAACTGACAGTATGATCTGGTTGAATTGTGTCTATAAAATACTTTGAAATGACAAGTTGTGAATTGGTGCTATATAAATAAACTGAATTGAATTCAATAGAATCAACCACAAAGCTAAGATCTAGTCAGGCTTAAAATACTGTATACAGTGTGAAAGTGAATAAAACGAATGCTTTTTGTTAAAGTTTAAAATTGCTAACCTAAAATTGTCTTATTTTACATAAAACTGTAGTTCTTCAACAAAAGAGTTATGTTATTTCACTACCTTCTTTAGTAAGTTCCTGTGTAAACAAGATGTAAAATTTTGCATTTTAAGCTTTTCTGATCAGAAAAATCAACTTGAACAAGAATAATGATACAAAAACTAAGATTAATGAAATAGGAAGTTTTAAAAGTGTAATGAAATAGCTTTTGCAAAAACGACTGCAGCATTTTGAGGATACAAACTGTAAAGGTAAAGGGCGCACACTGGATGCAAATACATAAATACATAACAAATATAAAAAGTACTGCAATCACAAAAATGATTCAAAGGCAAAAATGCTACAAGTAGTAAAAACAACTGCAAGTTAAGAAATCTCCAAACTAACTCAGCATAAGTTTTCTAGACCATTAGGGGGAGAATATCATCAGATTATGGGAGCAGACCATAGGCTTCACTGGGAATTAATATCTAGCAAAAACATAAACGGGATGCCCGTCCACATAATACATTTGAAGGGAAGAAATATAAGTTTTCCTTTTGATTCCTCTTTCATCTCTTGGTCGGTGGAGATAATCTCCCTCTAGTGGTCTGGAGCACTTCTGTTAAGTGGAGCCATTTTGCAGCCTTTCTTAACTTACAGTTGATTTTGTTTCTTGCAGCATTTTTACTTTGCATATGGTTTGTGTGCTAGCGTTGTTTATGTTTTTAACCGCACTTTTATGCATTTTCTCTCCGCTGCTCTTTAATTTCTGGAACAGCAGCTTTTTTTGTGTTTGCTAATCTAATCTTGTCTTTTCAGTGGTTTTTGTTTTGCATTCGTGCATTTCCAGTGTGTTCTCATTTTTCCATCCCTATAATTGTTTGGATATGACAGAAATGATATTGTCTTTCTCCTGCAATGAAAATCTGTTAGCAAGAAAGCTAGACTATTACAACAAAAGGAAAAGAACAAGCAAAACAAGAAATGTGAGCTTTCTAACTCCTTTTAACAAAAACGCTGGCATACGTTGGATAAGTTATCGCTACGTTTTATATAAGTTATGAGAATGCTGAAACACACTGGCACACGTCGACATACGGCAAGTGCGTCTAGAAATTTTGACCATGCAGGCAGTATCATCCTGAGGGGAGCAGCGATGCACCTGAGGGGAGCAGCTTTAACTGATGCCTGTGCATCATTTCATGGGCATTATGCTGCTGTGTGTTATGCATGAGTTGGACATAAATTTTTGACACATTAAAAAAACACTAAGTGTACACCGAAACTTGAAAAAATACATAGAAAGTTCAGCGTATGCAGAAGATTCTGGGAAGTCGGGCATATGCTGTCTAAATCGGCAAGGTGTGACAGGGCCCTAAACAGTGAAAAGATGGCTCAGATATTTATACTGTATTGTGATTGTATTCACTTTCAGCACTCACCAAGGGCTCCATGTAGGTTCTGGAACAACCTGCATTTACTGTCCAGAGTGATGTTTAAGGTTTTCTGAAAAAGAAAAAAAATTACAAACATTTGCATGAGTTAAAATAAAATTCCTGATTTAAAATTTAACTTATTGGGACATGTGATACTAAATATTAACTCCTGTATCCTTGCACTGCAAACTAAAGCATGTCTGAAGAAAGGCGACAATAAACCGCTGACCTAAGGGAAGTTTTTAACAGGAAACACATGAAGGACATCCTGAGCCTCATTAACTGTAGTTGAGTGTTTTTATTAAAAGAGCTAATTTGCGTTATAGTGAAACATATCTCACCCTTTTAGCTGGATCTATGTAAATCTTAGTGAAGAAGAGTTGGTCATTGTCACTGTCACCTCCGGTCCAGTTAGCAATCATTTCTTTGATGCTGGGAATGTAGCCAATGAAGCCTGGGGACAAATAAAACCAACAGAAATTATGCCTGTTCTGCTAATGAGGACCATGTGTTGACTTCCATTTTCAACCCTTTCTATGCTCTAACCCTAAAGCTAGCCCTAAACTAAGCCAATTAACCTAACAGTCATGTTTTTGGACTGTGGGAGGAAGCCAGAGTACCCGGAGAGAACCCACGCATGCTCAGGGAAAACATGCAAACTCCATGCATTAAGGCCAGGAATTGAACACAGAACCTTCTTGCTGCAAGGCAGCAGTGCTACCCACTGCACCACTGAGCAGCCAAGAAATAGTTCAGTAAATAAATAATAGTCATAAATAATAGTGAACAAATTATTTCTCATGTTTTTTTGTTTTTTTTTAAATACCAACAGGCCAGTACTTACAGTTATTACTCCAGTAAAGTATAAATAGCCAAGTAAAATAATGTAATATTTGTTTTTTGTCCTCCTTTGGGGGTCCTCCTGCTTTTGCATCAGATTGAGGACAATTTGTAGTAAAGTGAGGACATCTCTCCAGTCCTCTTTCTTTCTTGCTAATGTTAGATCCAGGATGAAGGTGTAAATTAAGTTTAGATTAAAGTTAAGGTTAGGAAAACACTGATGATGGTTAGGATTAGGGTTATTGTCAGAGTTGTAATTGTGAATGTTAATCTTTTTTGAGCTTTTCTGGTAAACAAAACCTCTGAGAAGCATGAGGCCTTATGGAGGACGAGCCTGGTCCTAATGCGGCAGACACGATTTTTAAAGATAGCAGGTCAGTTTAGAGGTGAATGAACTTAGGTTACAGGTAGGGCTGGGAATATTGTGGTGATGGTTAGGGCAAATGTCAGTGTTTGGTATAAATGCAGGAGCAACAGTGCTGTCTGATGTAGGAGTTTGCCCTGAAATCGAGGGGTTGACAGTTCAAGCTCCAGCTTTTAGTGTTGTTGTGCCCTTTGGCAAGACACTTCACCCACATTGCATGGTTGTCAGAGGGCCGAGTGGCGCGAGTGTACAGCACCCTCACTTCTGTCAGTGGGCAGCAGGGACTAAAATTGTGTTTGTTTCCATCAGTTTGTGCATTAATGGGTAAATGACTGAATGTAGTGTAAAGCGCTTTGATCAAGTCCTCTGAGTTGAAAAAGAGATATACAAGTACAGGCAATTTACCATTTTACCAGCTTAGGATGCATAGAAATACAAACGTGTGTGTTTAAGTTTGAGACTGCATCACTAATGAGGTCTGCTCAGTTCAGATTTTATGGGCTGCTGAAAAGCTGACGGCAGGACTGTGTGCACTGCCACCTCAGCAGCTTCTCTGCACACAACCAGCACAGTTTCCTCCCAGTGGGCGAGCAATTAAATGGAATAAAAAGGAAAATCACTCTGACAAAGTGAGCTGAAACAAAACTTATGCTTGTGTCGCTATTGTCACTGATATTAAGATGGCTGATACTTCCTATCAATTTTTCCAGTTTTTGCACACTGTTATTTTCACAATTTCTAGGTCTATTTTTTTCTGTGAATGCTTCTTTATCTCATGCATGGTAAGCAATATGCATTTTGTAACAAATATATTGCAATGAAATTTAACCTGAGGGGCCACTTGATTTTAGGCCCTGTACATTTAAAAAAATATTTCTAGTGATGTGTGAACCTGTTAGCTTACACTGTCTTTTTGTTTTGACACTAATTCACCTGAGTTTCTATTTTATTCTTGTTGCCTCCTGTAATAAGTAAGATAAACATATTTCCGTAATATTCCATAAAAATGGTGACTGCATTGCTGACTTTCTATCACTATTATTACTGTTGCACACACTTCGCCCCCAAAAAGAGAAAGAGATACAAAAAGGGCAAAATATATAAAAAAAACAATACTGATATGCATATCCAACAATGCGGAACAACGAGGTCAGTGTGCATTGTAGAGGGGGGGCCCAAAACCAGTCCATCCGACTATCAACCCATGGCTGAGAACCTTTTCTTTTTTAAAGCTGTTTGTAAGTAGAACATAGGCTTGATGTTTATATTTTGCATATAAATTGTTTCAGTGAAGTACAAATATTACAGGCAGAGAAAGGAAATTCCAAAGTCTGAATGTTCTTCTTTTCTTGGTTTTGGCTCCAACATGCAGCATGTGTGGAAAGCCAAGTGTCATAATATCAATACATTAAAAACTGGAATATTTTCTATTTGTTGATGTAAAAATCCATACATAGATTAAAATGTATGCTTACAATAAATAAAAAACATCTTTATCCTTAATAAATGTAAAATTTCTATAGTATTTGTATTTTTTACATAAATATTTTTGCTTAATGGACATGTGAAAAAAGATGCAGATTTATTTAGTGTCTGTCTCACATATCTAAATCATTCTTGGTACAAAAAAGTCAGTCATAGTGAGTTGGGTTTGTAAACCGATCTGCATAATGAGCTTCATGAAGCCAAAAAGGTTATTGAAAAATGTTTTGAATATCTTTTATTTACATTTTTCCCCAAAATATTTGATTTAAATTTGAATTAAATTCCCCAATTTACTGAGTACACCGATTGACCAATCAAGACTTTAGATATTTATAACGAACATCAAAGACATTAAGACATGTAATTGACAGATTAAATTTGGGGTGAATCATTACTGATGAATCATTAATTACATAGCTTTGCCTCGTCTGTTGGCTCTGACTAAAACCTGGAGAGAAATATCAGCTGTGCTGCTGCCATCAACACATTTGTTTATAGATGTTGGAGATTGGCCTGTTTTTCAGTGTAGTTCTGTTTCTCTGATTGTGACTGGCTGGATGTGCTCTCTTCGTCCTCTGGCATGGGAGCTGGCTCAAAGCTATTGCCTAGCTTTGTAATTCCTGGACGGGGCCGCCTTTTCCAGTTGCTTTTTCTATGTCTGCTTCTGTCTCCTTGAACCCCAGTCGGCCTCAGCAGATGGCCGCTCACACTGAGCCTGGTTCTGCTGGAGGTTTCTTCCTGTTAAAAAGGAAGTTTTTCCTCTCCATTGTCACTACAAGCATGCTTAGTGTGAGGGATTGCTGAAGAGTTAATGAGTTGATGCAATCAACTGGTTTTTCTTAGATAGAAAACTTTGAATCAATCTGACTGGATGATCTGGTGAACTGAAAAGTGCCTTGAAATGACACGTTTTGTGAATTGCCGCTATATCACCCTCACTATATAAATAAACTGAATTGAGTTTCTTGCTTATGTTAGCTCAAGGACGAAGGTGAGAATATTAAAAGTTTAGACTAATCGGAACACACTGATGATGGTTAGGATTAGGATTATTGTCAGGGTTAAGGCATAGAGATTAATTATGCCTGCCAATCCTCTAAACTGAATTGAATTGAATTACCATCTTTAATGGAAAGATTTTGGACAAATATTTAGACATTTATTTTGCTGTGAAAAAAATCCTAGGATCCCCTTCAGAAATTGTAAGCAGGTGAGAGCAGTTCAAAGGAAAGGGAGTAACTTGGGGGAGCAGAACAGAGGAAAGGGCTTTCTATAGCACTTACAGCTCATGATTAACTGTTTTTGAAAGAAGCATAAAAAGTCACGTGGTCTGTCCTGGGTGACCCACCTCCAGAGCCCAGAAACCGGTTCCCTTCCCTGACGTGGGGGTATTTGTCCTCCAGATGTCTGTCAGGCCAAATCAGGCTCTCTGAAGAGAACACCACCTTGTGTTTGGCTTGCTGGAACTTCTTGAGGAGCTCTTTGGGACCCGAGGCGAAAACCACATCATAGCTGCGTCGAAAACAGAAAAAGGAGAACAATAAGGGATCAATCCTGCTCAGTAGTGTAAAAAACAACACTGGGAACTAACAAAAAGGCTCCTTCTGTGAATGATCTTAATCTTTCCACCTTTTATTTCCCCTCATACAATCTTGTTTTCCTTTGGTAATAATCCAATCTTAAAAAGCTGCAGAAAGCTGAAGTCATCTCAATAAAATGGAACGTGTTTAGATCTAAAAGCCTCTCCATTTTCCTTTAAAGCGGCATTAATTTTCATTAACATTCATAGATTGTTCTAAATGTCCTTCATTAACTTTAGCTGATTTTATCTAGATGCCAGTACCTATCAGGGGATCGGTTTTATTTTTTACTTAATTTCACAAAGATCTATGAAACATTCAGCTATAAAGACAAAAAGGACAAATAAACAAAGAAATAAGTCAATGTTGAATGTGCTGGACATTCCAACTGTACCTGTCGATAAAAAGAACGATCTGATCCTTAGACTTTATCTCCAGCAGAGCAGCTTTCAGGAGACGCAACTTCTGACCTCCTCCTGGAGCCGACATGTAGTCGCCTCCCTTCCATTTCTCCCCCCGGCCAAGAACCTGAAAACATACACACAATAAAAACATAAGAATACAAAAAAAGCACACTGTATAAAACAAAAATGGAGCAATCAATCATGTTATGTCTTACCTTTACAGTGTAGTTAAAGTGTTTAGCCGACCTCAGAAAACGCCTGAAGCCATCCGTCTCTTTGGTTGCTACGGTCAAAACTAAAAGCTTTTCTAAAAAAAAAAGAAGAAACAAAAACGGAGATAATGCTTTTTTTTCTTGGTGATTTAACAGTTGATAATCAAACAGAAACACAAATGGACGTGTTTTTTTTTTTTTGCCTAAAGCTCAGAGAACCAGTTATTACGATTCCAGTAAAAACACACAGCTGCAAAATGTCGGGTTCAGATTTAAAATATTGCTTCAAGTGTAAATTAATGGAGCATGTTCACACAGTAACCGGCCATCTGTTCACATCAAATAAAGTAAGAAACAGCTCAACATAATGATTGCACACAGTAACGTTTTACTACCAAGAAAACCAGGCGAGATGTTTTAAGCAGAGGAAAACATGAGCCAAACTAAAAGAGGAAAACTGACACCATTACCAGATGAAATCATGTCACATTATTCCCAGCGCTCCTTGCCATGTCTTTATTTGGATCTGAATATTATCTGTTTGCATCTTTTTAATGTCCGTGACTGATTTGGGTCATGTTATGGAATGGAACTAAGCTGTTTATGTTTATATTCATGCAGAACAGGAATCTAAGACAGAAGAGGCAATCTTTTTCTATTCCAGTGTTATATTATCCAGGTCATTCCCACGCGTTTAATTCAGTTAGGAACACTTGTAATTCAGGTTTTTTGGTATATATAATCAGCCTATCAGATAATATATCCTCCTACTGTATAAGCAGTCTGACCCAACTCCACTGTTCAGTGAATCCATTTAGAAACCACTAAAGGAAAAATCCCGTCATATTCAGAATTCAAACTTCTGAAAGTATTTTAAATATAAAATTATTACATACTGTTCAACAAATGATGAAGTGTTTTAATTAAGAATATTTTCATTTGAATTTTCTTTCCTGAACTAGTGTTGCACCGATGCCATTTTTTGGCCCCAATACCGATTCCTGGCTGATACCGATACCATACTGATACCATCTGTTTGAAATTGATGTGTGTGTATATGAAGAACTGCAAACTACTTGGATGTAAAATAATTGCCATGATGGCTTTGTCCAGCTGCTGCCTACCTTATTGCCTACCTGGAATGGGTGATAATAGTTGAATAAACTTTTGGTTCTCAAAATGGTATCGGTGCCCTATTGGTTGGTACTCTCCGATACCGTACCACATTCTTAGTGCCGTATCTGGCTGCCCGATACTGGTATCGTTATCGGTGACACACTACAAAGAACACTACTGCCACCTACTGGTTTGTGACGTCACGGTGCGGTATCGGCTATTGATCAACTCCCAGTGCTGTATCTGGTGTTTGTCACAACGTGCTATTATCCAAGTCATCTTGAAAACATTCTTCTTCCAAATGTTGGCTACATATTACGTGTTTTTTCTCTGGCCAGAAGTTCGATGGCAAATCCTCCCTCTTTCACTATAGCTCTGGTGAATTTCAATGGTGAAGTCCTCTGGAAATCTTCAATAATTGTTGTTGATTGCAAATGTGTCTAGTAGTTCCCATTGATTTTTCTTGTAAAGCGGGGAGAATGGCGCTAGGCTTACCGCACTGTGACGTCACTGCCGGAAGATGGCATGAGGGAGGGTTATTTGGGCAAAAATGGCCGCTCCCAGACTCGGTGATCACGTTGAAAATAATTTTTTTAATTTTCTTACTGATTAACACTAAATTCATTAAATCACAGCGAACATATAAGTTTTCGGTATAGATAATGATCCATTGGTTATTCCTTGCTGTCCGGACTTTTCCTTTAAAGGGTTTAAATATATTTCCAATTATGCACAACAAAATAAGGCAGTAGGGTTGTCACGATACTAAACTTTTCAACTCGATACCGATACTAAGTAAAATATTTGATACTCGATACCCTTTTCGATACCACAAGAATAAAAATAAAGACTCTAAAATTCAACAGAAATATTTTCATTACTAAAGAAATACAAGAAATAAATTAAAAAAAAACAATAAGAATAATATTTTGAGGTTATATGCTGTGCACAACATTAAGCAAGCTTGATAAAAAACTTAAAATTAAGTTCCTTCCTTGGCTATGTTTTGCAGACATAACAATGACACTGGCCAAAGCAGTTAAACAAAAATAATTCTCAGCAGCTGCACCTGTTACAAAAAAAGTCTGAAACTGAAAAATGCACAGAATTATTCAATCACACAGTTTTCAGAAAGTGCATTTTCCACTAATCTGCACTTTAGATGGCTGTATCGATACTTTTTAAAATGAGTATTGTATCCGGATACGTTTCAGTATCGATACTTTTTTGAGTATCGATACTTTTGACAACCCTATAAGGCAGTTCAAATTATTATTATATTGCACCAAATTATAATAAAGATAAATGACACGTTTAAAACATTTATTTCACACACTATGTATGACCATAAAACTGGAATGTATATTATTATACTTGGCTCTATCATGGGCTTATATCCCCCTGATTATGGATTTCTATTCTAAAAATAGGAGATCTGATCTACACTTGCCATACAGACGTAAACAGAATTCAAGTATTTACAATTATTGTAAAAATATACATTTCTTATAAAAATATATATTTCTTATTTACTTCTATAGTTGTTTGTTGTGTAAAAAAATATGACTAGTACTGCAGGAGTCATTTTAAGAAGAGCAGCAGACAAAACAAACAGAAAAACAAAACTTATCTAAAATGTGATCTGAACATAGAAAATATACCGTCAGAGATTTCATTCCATGAGTTTTTTGAACATTTATGTCTCTATGTTTTTTAAAATGAGGTAATTTTTTCATATTTAACAGTATTTCTGTGCAACAGTATTATGTTATTGCTTATTTTTCCTCCGGTGTGTGTTGATGCAGAAAGCAGCTGCCGGAGGTTACATGTCTAGGCGGTCCACGTCAGCGACTGAAGTTGGTATCTGATTGAACTTCCGTTAAGGCTGGACTGGATCTGATCCGGACCGGTTCTAGTGTTCAAACACTGAAATACGATGCGGAAAAACTGAAATAAACTCATCAAGTCAATTTGAAAAAGATAAAAACGTAGTTCGGTGTAATCTTTGTTTAGAAGTGTGCATATTTTCAAGCAGAACTTACCAATAAAACCTCTAAAATAAAATACAGGTTCTGTATTTGTATTGACTTTTATAGGCAGAGATTTACGCGGTGTTTGTGTTTACCCAGTTAGTTACTGCTCAACTATTTGAATTGTTAAAAGTAGTAAAACATTAATATACAGTACGAATCGTAGACTAACTTCACCTCCGGAAAGTTTTATTCAATCAAAACATATTTAAATTGATCACAAACCAAGTTGGATTTTATTTTTAAAAAAGGCTTCAAAAGAAGAAAGTGTACCAAAATGAAGTGGTTTAGTAAAAAGAGTGACAGTTCGGCTAAAGTAATAAATCAAAGCGCGTATTTTAACCGAGCTGTTGTAACGGTGCAGTGCGGTGTCTGTGCGTTAAAAGCTGGAGGGAAGCGGCTGTGCGGGTCTCCGCACACCGACAGGCCGCCTGTAAGGCAGCCACCCACCGCTCAGTTCGCTGTGAAGGAGCCGGGGCTCCAGCGGAATGCTCCACTCACCTTCAGGGATACGCTGCTTTTCACAGTTAACGGCCAAGAAAAGTGCACATAAGCAAATCCATGAAAGAAGGCAGAGAAAGGAGGGATTCATGTTAACCGGAGTTTGGGGGTAAATGTGGCAGAATCCCAGCGGTAAAGCATGCAGAGCTGCTCGGACGCTTCTCCTCCCTCTGTTCACCTCGCTCTCTCCACCCTTTATCGCTGCCTACCTCTTTAACCAAAGGGCCGTTCCCCCTTCACATAAAAAATGCTATCAGAAAGTTTCAAGTGTTTTTGTGTTGTGTTAGAAATGAACACTTCCAGGTTAGGGTGTAATTGAACCACCCTCTTTATGAATGGGTGGGATAAAAGCTCATTGGAAAGGATCGCAGGAGTCTGTGCTGTGAACATGAGTCCCTGCACGTAGACCTCCCTAATACAAGCGAAGGCTGGATTCATAACCTCATTTTCACGAGAGACGTGTTTTTAATAATGTTGGCTCTAAAATTAACACACACAAAAAAAACTTTTCTCTGCACACTAGCTTCCTGTTGACTACTTTTGTCTGATAATTTCCAAAGTACTACAGTATCATCCAGGGCAGGATTTACCATTAGGCAATACTAGGCAGCTGCCTAGGGCCCCAAGTTCCTGGGGGCCCCATAAAACTGTCCACATGTATGGTTAATACAACTATTCCTTATTTGTGCACATTAATTATGTTTTTGATCAAAATCCTTTCCCTAAAATGCCATCGGAACGCTTATAATATCAAGTGTGTCTCAGCCCCCCCCTCAGTGTCCACCATATTGGATCAGTCCATTTGCTGCACATGTTCAGAAAGGTCCAAACAGACAGCAGCAAACCATTTGAAAACAAACCATGCAAAGAGCAGTGTTGCCACATAGCACTTTTGTAGCGACTTTTCAGACCCCTCTAGCACTTTGATTTCAAAAAAGCGCCTAGTGCCAAATCTAGCAACTTTTTACTGCTACTGGAGACAACATCTAAAAGCAGCTAACTCTGCTCTCCAGAGCGAGTAGATTGGTAACCCCGCCTCCTGCTCTCCTCTATCTTGTCTGCTGTCATGATTTTTGCAGCTATTATTCCATTCAAATGAAAAATGGAGAACAGATAAGCAGATCATGGCTTGTCTACAGTGAAAAGAAGGACTGGGTTATTTACTTTGGCCGTTTCCTTTTTGGAAACACAGGAAGGAGCAATCAGCTAAGTGAGCTTAGTGCTTGGAAAAACTCTTTCATTCCTTTACAGACAGCATGAAAAGTCAGCTGAGTGCAAAACATAGAGAGGAAAACAACAAGAAAAGGGACAAGAAGAGAGGGACAAAAAACATAGAACTAATAAGGGATGTTTGTTCTATTAAAATGTATGTATCAGTATCATGGATATCTTTTCTGTGTTGTCCTCTCAATTCAGAGGGCCCCCTGCCTGTCTTTGCCTAGGGCCCCAAATTTCCTAAATCTGCCCCTACATCCCTTGCTGCATGCATGTTTAAAATAGAACCACACATTGTCTTCCTACAAATAAGGTGAATCCATAAGACTTACTGCTGAAAACCTGCTAATTTATTTTCAAGTATCCAACCGGACAAATGGAGGACTGCAGGAGCCTTTCCAGTTTAACTGTTCAATACAATTAAAAAGAGGAAGGCAGATCAGAGAGGCAGATGTTGCACTGGAATGAATAAAGTACTAATACAAACTTGAACATCTGGAGTTCTTTATTTTACACAGAGGAAGTTTATTCAGAAGAACTCGGCCAATCACAGGCATAGAAATACATGTTCACCCATCCAACTTTCTGAAGAAATCTAGATGGGAGGAGAATAGAGATTTCTTTGGAAATTGCCTCTTGTGAACTGCTTTATAGCCACACTTCAGCGTTTCAGCTTACGTTTATCTATAATGAAAAACAGAGATAGCCTTAGTAAATAACAGCATCATAGTTTCTTGAGTTGTGAGTAATAAAAGGATTTATATGGTTTTGCATGTAAAATAAATAGTTGACATTAGTGTCATAAACAACAGATGACATAAATAATAGATGAGTTACAGTGGATGCCTCAGGGGGTGGGGGTGCTATCCCTGAAAAAGTTATAGCACCCTCACAGCATCCCCAAGAAAAATGTTGATACACTGCTCAAAAAATGAAGGGAACACTCAAATATCCTAGATCTGAATAAATTAAATATTCTCATTGAATACTGTTCTGTACAGACTTGAATGTACTGAAACTAAAATCACACAAAAATCATCAATGGAAATCAGATTTACAAAGCAACGTAGGCCAGATTTTGAAGTGACATACCTCTGGTGAGCACATGAAGGGCTGCACTTACCCCAAAAAATGCCACACCAAACGTTACTGACCCACTGTCAAACCGGTCATGTTAAGGGATGATGGATGCACCAGATCGCTCTCCCCAGTGTCTCTAGGTTCTGTCAGGTCTATCACGGGTCACCCTGTTTTCATCTGAAGAGCATAGGGTGCCAGTCGAAAATTTGGCAATACTGGTGTTCTCTGGCAAATGCCAAGCGTCCTGCATGGTGCTGTGCTGAGAGCACAACCCTGATCTGTGGATGTCGGGCCCTCATACCATTCTCATGGAGTCGGTTTCGAACAGTTTGTGCTGATGCATGCACATGTTTGGCCTGTTGGGAGGTCCTTTTGCAGGTCCCTGGCAGTGCTCCTCCTGTTCCTCCTTGCACGAAGGCAGAGTTAGCGCTCCTGCTGCTGGGTTGATGCCCTCCTATGGCCTGCTCTATGCCTGCTGATATACTGGCCTGTCTCCTGGTAGGGCCTTAAGCCTATGCTGACAGACACAGCAAACCTTCTTGCCACAGCTCACACTGATGTGCCATCCTGGATGAGCTGCACTATCTGAGCTATTTGTATTGGTTGTAAAGTCCGTCTCATGCTACCACGAATGTGAAAGCACCACCAACAGTTAAAATTTACCAAATAATTAGCTAGAAAGCATACGTACAGGGAAATGTCTGTGGTCCCCACCTGCAGAATGAGTGTGTCTTTCTTCTTAAGTCGCCAGTATGAATTCACAGAAGTTCATTATGATTGAACTTATGTTGTGCTGTTTACATGTTCCCTTTATTTTTTTGAGCAGTGCACTTTTTCATCACAGAAAATATTCTTAAACATGTGATAGTTGTGAGAATTCCCTCACAAAAAACAACCAGTTCCAATTAAAAAACAATTGTTTATACCATATATAAAGGATCTGCACTCGCATTGAATTTTTAAGAACCCTAAAATAATACAACCTTTAGCACCTGAAAAATCCGACAGTGTGTTAAATAAAATGAGGTATAAGATGAGGTAGGGGAGTGGTGGCCTAGTGGTAAGGGCCACCGCTTGAATCCAGAGGTTCTGAATTCAAACTAGTAATAATTAACAAGAATATTACATAGGTAAAATTAAAAAGTAGTTTTTTCCCCTAAATGTTACTCAAGTAAATGGACCTAAATAAATGCAACTGCTTATTAAATAATAAAAAAAATGAAATTTATTAAATTTCACATTGGATAAATTTACCTCTGCATTTAACCCATCCCCTTAAGGAGCAGTGGGCTGCCACTGTGCGGCGCCCGGGGAGCAGTGTGGGGTTAAGGGTCTTGCTCAGGGACCCAGGGTGGAGGTTCTGGGGATCAAACCAGGTACTTGCAACCTTCTCAGAGCACAAGCGCACTGCTCTAACCACTAGGCTAACACTCTCACTATTATTCGCCTCTCTATATTTATATTTTAGTGTGTATTGGTTAGTGTACACTGGTATTTTCCAATTAAAAAAATTGCTGAAGGTGCAGAGATAATATTGCTGAAACAGAAATTGTGGTTGCTCTAAAAGGGTTAAGAAAAACTCATTTTACCAATAGTGGTGTCAGACACGTTAAAAAAAGAAATTGTCCTCATTAAATGCAATATTTTTAAAATGTTCACATATTTGATTCTTTAGAGAATAAAAATCTGTTACAGCAAAGTTTGCCTTCAAGATGAACTCATCTATTTTTTTAAAAAGCTGAGAATTGCAATTGATTAATAATAATAATAATAATTTTAATTTAATTGATAAACTGTTTAATCGTTCAGGATAAAACAGGGACTTGTTTTTGTGAAGGATTTATCTGTTAGTTTAGATAAAGAAATGATGTTTGTCTAAGTTCCCATGAAGGATCCGAGTTGAGCTGGTATTTTTTATCTACATTCAGTACACACATCTTACCAGTTGGGAGCGGTATTGCTCCGTTAAGTTATTCAATAACAATAAAGACGATGAATAGTTAAATATTATCCAACACCAGGCTTTAAGAATATGTACTGGCACTTTTAAAACGCTTTGAAATGGGAGAAATGCCTCTTAAAGTTAGAAGGGATCAATTGTCTTTAGAATACAGGTCAAATTTACAGGAACAAAGGAATGATCATCCAACATTAGAGGTGCTTAAACGGAAAAGAAACAATTAAAAAACTTTAGATGGGTAATAAACTCTAAAGCTGATAAAATTCAGTTAGATATATGTCAGACAGTTCCATTACCTGCAGAACCACCTTAGATACTTCCTGATCCCGAAGTTGACTTTTCATTATCAGAAAAAAAGAACAAAGATATATTTGAAATTATGAATAAATATACAGTACAAGAATACTTAAATAGGTATTATAACGATATAAAAATATGCATCAACACTGAGATCCTCTAATCAGCTGCTACTGGCGATGCCTAAAACCAGACTTAAAACCAAAGGTGATCGTGCCTTTATGGCAGTGGCACAGAGACTCTGGAATAACTTGCCATGGCATATTAGATCAGCAGGCTCCTTTGAGGTTTTTAAATCCTTTTTAAAATCACATTTTGTCTCCCTGGCTTTTAATCATGTCTAAGTGGACATTTAGCAAAATTTTATTTAAAATTTTATTTTATTCTAAAATGTATTTTAATTGAAACATTTATCCTATTCTATTTTTATGTGTTTATGTATTTTAGCCTTCAGCTTTTATCTTATGTTCCTTAACTGTGATTCCTGTACAGCACTTTGGTCAACCCCGGTTGTTTTAAATGTGCATTATAAATAAAGTTTGAGTTGAGTTGAGATGAGATCAACAAATACAGCTTATTAAGAAGGGATAGCATTTATTGTACCACAGTTTCAAATTAAGTTAGGGAAAAGGATTAGTGATGGAGTCTCGCTGTATACAGGAGAAATGCTTGCTTTGCTTTTAGCAGTTCAATGGGTGGAGAAGGAAGACCTTTAGAATCTATCATTCGCTTAGATTCTAGTTCGTCATTAGTCAGTTTGCAAAATAATCAGTCAGACAATAGACCAGATATATTAATTGAAATACAACAAACACATTACAGAACAAATATGATGGGGTATGAAGTAGTAAATCTCGCATAACGAGATTAAAGGG